TGGAGGAGATGTATAGGAGCAGAGCATGTATGGGGTATGTATTGTCCGTAGGGGACAAAGCAGGCTGGCTGCTCTCAGTCCTGATGCTCACCCCCTCCCCACTTGGCAAGGACAGAACGATGGTTTATCTTAATTGTCAAAGTCATTTGACTGAGAAATACCCAGGAGATTAATATAGTACTGCTGCTGTGATAAAACACTACAACCAAAGACCACATGGGGAGAAAGGGTTTATTTCATCACATCGTTCCAGAAAACAGCTCAACACTAAGGGTAATCAGGGCAGAAACCTGGAGGCAGAAATGGAAGCAGAGGCAACAGAAGCACACTACTCTCTGGTTTACTCACCCTTTCTTATACAATCCAGGCTCCCATGCCTAGGAATAGCACCGCCCACAGTGGGCTGGGTCCTCTTCACAGACATGGCCATAGGCCACTCTGATCTGGGAACTTCTTCAGTTGAGGTTCCTTCTTCCTAGGTGATGATTGATTGATTGATTGATTGTGAGAGTATGTAGTCCTGTTATGTTAAGTGTGGGGGTGAGAGGGTAACTTCTGGGGAGTAGGTTCTCTCCTTCCGCGTTGCTCTGAGGCAGGGTCTCTTGTTCTGCTCTGTGTTGTGCATGTTTGCAAGCTGCATATGTGAACTTGCCATCACAGGATTACAGATTCGTGTCACCACATCAGGCTTTTCACAAGGTCTCCAGGGAACCGAACTCAAGTCATCAGGCTTGTTTGCTGCAAGCCCTTTTACCCACTGAGCCATCTGGCTGGCCCCAGTTACCTCTGTTTTTTGAAAATGGGGTAAATGAGGCCAGGTGGCGTGTGTTTCACTCCTTTAATCCCTGGAGGCAGAGACAAGTGAATCTCTGAGTGTGAGTCCAGCCTGGTCTACAGAGTGAGTTCCGGGACAAGCAGGGCTACTAAGAGAAACCCTGCCTCAAAAAAAAAAAAAAATTGGGAAGTGTCAAATCTCTAGTTCCAGGTTATAGAGCAGCAATATATAGCAGGTCTGGATGCTGTGGAATATTCCTGTGCACTGTGTAAAACTATTCTCTGACTGGGTTAATAAAGAAGCTGACTGACCAAAAGCCAGGCAGGATAAGGTTAGGTGGAAACACCAAACTAAGGAATGGAAGGAGAAGGGCGGAGTCAGGAGAGATGCTAGCCAACTGCTGGCAGTTCAGCCTTCTTAACCCGTGTTCCCATTGTCCATCATAGGGGCTGCTCAGGCAGGCAGGCCTCTGTGAACCCTGTGGAATGGATAAGGGTATCTGACCTGGCTGAAAGGAACCCTGGGGGTCTAGGCAGCCAGCAACCACTCTTAGTGGAGACAGACAGCATTGTATGCAGACCCTAGGGTGGAGAAGGACCTTGCGGGGTGGAAGGCTAGCTCCATGGCGGATCAGGTAGTAAATGCAACCTCTGCTAAGATTGAGCAAGAGCAGGCCTGGGTTCCCCTTCACTCTTAACCAGCCCAAACTGCTTGTGGGGTGAGCCAGGCACAGAAGGCCGATAGGCTGACTGGAGGAGGCCTGACCTACAATAAGACACAGGCCATAGTGTGGGGGAGGAGCAGACAACAGGAAGACAGGCTGACCAGACATTTGGAGCCAGGGTTTGAGGGCCTGGTAGCAGCTGTGGTGAGCAGCAAGCATGTCCAGTTGGAGGGTATAAGTGTCTAGACAGGTGGCTGGAGTCGGTGACAAGACTCTGGCAATGGGCAGTTGGATCCTGCATGCCCCGAATCCGTGGCATGGAAGACCTTGCAGATGGTAGCTCAAAGGCTGCTATTGTGGGGCAGGAAGCCAGGCACATTGATGTCTGGTGCACAGCATGAGACCTTGGCACACATACCTGTCACGATGGCTGCTATCTATTCAGTATGTCCTTGGCTGTGAGGGCCAGCCTGCCGAGGAGAGCAACCCAAAGCCAGGACTGTAGCAGTTACACAATGCCATGTGCTGTTGCTGCAGACCAAGGCTGAGGCTGGTAAGGGGAGTGCCTCTGCTGGAGCAGTTACGCCCTAGGCCTACTGGGTCTAGGAAGAAAAGGGCCAAGGCTGGCACTTTGGACTGGTGCCAGAGAGCTCTGTCAGTAGCTATGGTGAAGGAGGAGTCTCTACCATCTTCGTTAGAAAGCCTAGGTGGGGGACCAGGGGGATGGCTCAGGTAGTGAAATGCTGCCTTGCAGGCATGAAAGCCTAAGTTTGACCCCCAGATAAACCTGGCATAGTGGCATGTGTGAGCCAGAGCTGAGAAGCAAGAAGTAGTCGTTCGATTTCTGGTGCTCACTGGTCAGCCACCCCAGCCTACTAGAAAGAACTCTAGGCCAGTGAGAGACTGTTCCAAAAACAAAACAATTTCACTAAAACCAAAACTCCAATGAAATAAAAATGGCCCCCCACGAAACAAATAAACTCAAGGTGGCTGGCATGTGAGGAATGACAGGCAAAGGGTGTCTTCTGACCTCCACCACACACACACACACACACACACACACACACAGACATACACACACACACAGACACACACACATACACACACAGACATACGCACACACACACACAGACACATATACACACACACAGACACATATATACACACAGACACATGCACACAGACACATATACACACACAGACACACACACACACAGACACATACACAGACACGCACACACACAGACACATACACAGACATGCACACACACACAGACAGACAGACACAGACACACACACAGACACAGACACACACAGACACACACACAGACAGACAGACAAACACACACACACACACACACACACACACACACACACCTAACCAAAACAGTTCCCACTGACAGCTGACAGCTGAACCATGTGATATCCTGGACTGATTCTGGCCAGAAATGAACCCTTTCTCTTGGTCAGAAGGTCGGGATGACTCCTCCAAGTCTCTTCAAGAGACCTGGAAAGGAGAGGAAGGGAGAGTCATTGCTTAATGAGTACAGAGTTGCTTTGGTGATGATGAAACCACTTTGAAAATAGTGGTGCTGGTTGCACAACATTGTGAACACAGTAGCAATGCCACTGAATTATTAGCAAAAGGTCAAAACAGCAAAGATATGTTCTTCCAACTCCCTCCCCCTTTACTAGCTACGCATATACATTTTATACTATACACACACATATTTTATATAATAAAACAGGGAGACTGGAATTGTGGCCAGTTGCCTAGCATGCATGAATAAGCCTTGGGTTTGATTCCTAGCTCTGTATAAAATGGGCATAATGGTTTATGCCTGTGGTTCCAGCACTTGGGACATAGAGTCAGGAGGATTGGGATTTCAAGGTCAACCATGGCTTCATTAAAACTATGAGACCAGATTGGGCTGAAAAGAGAGAAGGGGCAGGGAGAGAGAATGAGCATTGCCAAGGTCAGGGGAAACAGAGAAGGACTGAGAATGAGCCATAAAATGATAACTAAGTACAATGGGAACTGGAATTGGAACCTGAAGGAGCATTTAAATGCGCATTACGGGAAGCCTGATGAAAGGCGTGTGCTGTCTGCACCCCAGACGACAATGTCACGGCAGCTGCATGCCAGTGTTCATTTCTAGCTTTGCCAAATGCGCCTGCTTAAGTAAGATGTTTGCATTAGCAGAAGGTGGGTGAAGGATACCTGGGAACTCTCTGTGTTCTTTCCAAGTCTTGTGCAAATCAAAGACAAAGGGGCACTTGGATTGCCAAGGAGAGCTGGGGACAGCCTTAGCGTGTGTATCTCGGCTCTGCCCAGGGCTGGCTCTCAAGTCTCTGGGTGGGATCTGTTCCTGGGTTTGTGGGGCCCAGTCTCCGCTAGAAAGACAAAAGTTTGGCGAGGTGGGTGTTGGAGCATGGGTTGGGCATATGGGAGCAGTTCTGAGCAGTGCCAATGGTCACCCTGCGGGCTCTGTGCTGGTCTGTGTTGCTCCCCTCTGGTTCGAAGGGTCTCTGTTCTCCAAAGGAGGGTCCCAGGTCCCAGTCATCCTTGTGATGGTGACGTGTACCAGGAGACCAAAGTTGTGAATCTGAATACATAGGATTGGAAGCTCTGTTGCTACCTGGTCTGTCTGGAGCCACATGCCAGCCCCCTGCTGCTGACAAGAAATGATTGCAAGTGCCTCAAAAACTTCTGCAGACTCACCCCTGGGTGACTGGGGCTCTGACCATGGCCTCCACCCACCTGGAGACCTGCCGCATGGCTGCTATTTGCCTGCTCACGCCCTCCACACCCCTTGGTTTGCCCTCTGCACTGGTCCGGGCATGCAGTCCTTCCTCCTGCCTTTCCACCTGGTGCTTCCTCTTCTATGTTTTGACTTCTCTCTTTCTCTCTTCAGTATTTATGCCAGGTTTTCACAGTCTCGGTCAGCACTATCCTCTAGAGCTCTGTTTGTTTAATCATTATTATTCCTGTCCTCCTAAAACATACACACACACAGAGACACACACACAGACAGACAGACAGACAGACAGACAGACGCACGCACACACGCACGCACACACGCTCCATGCTCTTTGGTCCCCACCAAGGGTGGCATGTGTGGGCTCTGAGTTTGAGATAAAGCCCAGGCAGCAGGGGACACCCCTGTTTTCCCTGATCTAGGTCTGTGAAAGGCACATCTTGCATGCAGTCTAGGTCCTGTGCACTTCTGGGTACAGCCTTTATTCTGAGCTACAGTCTCCCAGGCCAGAGAGGAGGGTAGGCCCAGAACATTCTGTGACAGCAAGCTGTGTGCGCTGGGTGTAACTGCACAAAAATGACCAGTGTGTCTAGTAAAACACAGTGATCAAAAAAAAAAAAACCCTAATTCCCCCCACTGACCTCAGAAATCCCAGGGATCAGCTGGCTGGCCTGGCTGAGGACATGGCCTTTGGGCAGGACACAGTGAGAAGGGGGAGGGTGTAGAGAGAGCTAACTGCGCACCTGTGGCGCTGACCACGCCCGTTTGGGCGTGGTCACAGGTCTGTTCCGGAGGTGGGATTTTAGACTGACTCGACTGGCTCGGGCTTTCTCTTGTGGCTGGACGGCTCACGGGGGAAACAGCTTGGGAGGATCCTTGGAGCTGGAACCTGTGGCAACCTATCGTGTAAGTGTAATCTCTCCGAATAAACTCTATTTAACCTGTACTGAATCTAGTGACTATCGATTTAACCCGACATCAGCGGAGTATTTCAACTGAAGCAATCCCTCGGTGGGGTCTCTCTGCAGCCCCAGCCCTCAATTTCTTGTCTTAGGTCCCAAAGAGGCATGGGCCAGAGCACTGCTACTGACGCTTACCCATTGGATATGGGTTCAGGGTAAGGAGTACCTAGGGACAGCGTTTGGTAGAGTCAGGTATGCAGTCGCTACAGCTGTGGCCAGCAATGTCGTACAAAGGACTCCATAATGGGGAAAGACAGGCCTGGTAGGCTTCCAGGAAGAAAGGGCATTTGACACTTGAAGGACTGGTAAGACAGCCGTGCCTGGGGTTGCTGGTGAGGAAAGAAGAAGGCTGGGGGTGCCATTCAATGACACTTGTCCAGCACGAGTGAGGCTCTAATTATACCCACAGCATTGGGATAAGGGTTGGAGAGAAAGAGGAGCCAGGCTAGACAATGTCCTTGGAGGGAGAACCGGCTACATAGATGGGTATGTGAATCCAAGACTGAGCTGAAAAGGACCCAGTTCCTTGGAAGGTAACGAGGCCAGTGAGGCCATCGCGCAATGAAATGTGTGAAAGGGCCCGGCCCCGTGTGGTACCCAGCATGGTGCTCAGGTCATGCCCACTTGTGGCTGAATCTAGTGACAAACTGGCATACAGTTATAGAGAACCTGATTTCATTGGTTTTCTGAGCATCTGTGAAGACAGAAACTTCTACACCTGCCTTAAGCTTGAAAGCATCGCCCTGGGAAGAGATAGACACCATTGCATACCTTCTTCTCCAGTGGGCAACCAGGCCTGCCTTGTTCGTGGCATGGAGGAGACCACTAGCCAAGTCTAGAGAGCACCCAGGCAAGCCCCTGTCCATAGGGGAGTCTGTGCCCTCCTCAGGACCCTCCCAATGTCTCCTCCAGTCTTTTTGACAAGGAGTCCTCCCAGACTTCACAGAAGGCTACCCAGAGCCCACACGGGTGCCAGAAGGAATAATTTACATGAGTTACACGCACATCTGTTTATTCTTTTCTTGGAGTTAATTGCTCAACCAAGGCCTCCTGCCGTAAGCAAGAGACATCAAAGTGTCCTGGGATGCTGGCTCCTACATGTGCAGTCCTTTTGCTGTCCCTAATAACTAGGCCAACCCAGAGTCGGTAAACAGCTTCCAAGCAGAAAAACATACCGAAGCGTCCTAGTCTGCCTCCTATTGCTGTGATAAACATCAAGACCAAAAGCAACTTGGGCAGAAATGGGATTATTTTATCTTACAGCTTCCAATCCATCAGGAAAGAAATCTGAACAGAAACCAAAGGCAGGAACTGACGTGAAGACCACAGGGGATGCTGCATATTGGCTTGTGCCCTATAGCTTGCTCAACTTGATTTTTTATACAGCCCAGGATCGCTTGCCCAGGGGTGGCACCATCCACTGTGGGCTGGGCCTTTCTACATCCACCATTAATCAAGAAAACACCCCGCAGACTTGCGTATAGTCCAATGTCATGGAGGCATTTTCTTAATTGAGGTTCTGTCTGCTAGATTTGCTGACCAGTCTGGCCTCAAATTCACAGTTCTCCTACTGGATGCTCGAATTATAGGTGTGGAGCACCACACTCTAACAGCAAATATTTGTCAAAGGAAAATCAACAAACACGTACAAACTGGAGGCCACCTTGGGAGGTGGATGGCTGAGCTCAGTAGAAATGGCCAGGGAACTGCCACACAAGCATAGGCCCACTCTGGGGAGAGCAGGCCACAGGCTTCAGGCCAGACGAGTTGTGTGAGCCCGGTGGCTTTTGAGCCTAGCAGAGGTGAGCATCCATTGTGGAGAGGTCGGACTGAGGAGGTGCTAGATGGGGAACCGTAAGCCACAGGGAGGAAGAAGGATAAGGAAGGCCGAAACCTTTGCCCTCGGTGACTATTGAGCAGGAGTGACAAGGGCGGGAGACAGGACGCTGTCTACTCATGGCCCATGTGAAACAGCGCTGTCACTGTCACGGGATACCTCAGCCATGCAAGGCCAGGTGGGCCCTGAGTCAGCAGCTCCTTTCAGTTCCACAGGAAAAAGTTAGACAGTGGGTCTGAATGCCAGCAGGGAATCAAAAGCCCATGCGGGCATTTAATACAGTTCAGGGCTGTGCTGCTTGCAGCTGGCTCAGGAACCCGCGCCTCTCCAAGCTGTCTTCACTCTGAGCCCAGGATAGCAAGTTTCAAAGAGACGCAGTGTGTAGTGGGTACTGACAGCCCTGGGCAGATGACTGATGACACGCAGAGTGGAGGAGACGAAGCCTGGTAGTGAACTTACAGAAGGGAGCTCGGTACAGTAACGCAGGCCCACCGTTTGCATGCATGGATTTACCAGTGTCTGGGACAGCGCAGCACAGCTAAGCTGCTTTCTCCTTGCCAATGCTACTTTGCCAAATCTTCTGGCTTGCGGAGACACCTCTACATGGCCAGACCTCAGTCCCGCTTCCCTCTAACCCTCAATGTGTCTAACACTGCACTTAAAACACCTTCCTGGGCACAGACATCAACCAGACAGTGTCTAGCCCTTGAAGGGCCAAGTCTGACACAAAGGCCAGGTGGCCAAGCCTTCCAGGTGGCATCTTGGGCCTAGCTCTGTCAAGGACAAAGACACATTCATGTCTGAGCAGAGAGACTGGCATACTCATGATCATGCTCTCTGAGGATCTGTTTTAAAAATTGTGTCCAGTGTAAGAGAGCTAAATTGAACTCTGCTTTTTCTTTCTTTCATTTTTTATTTGTTGACTGATACTGGGTTTTGAATCCATGGTTTTGCGCGTTCTCGGCAAACACTCTATCACTAAATGACCACCTCAGTCCCCTTGAGACTCATGCTCTTAGAGTGTTGAGGGTATCTGCCCCTGACTCAATGGCCTCCGAGAGGATAACAGCCCTGATGGTGTCTATGTTGGGCTGGATGTCAAGGAGGGCATGGGGAAAGAGAGGGGAGTGCAGACAGACTCTCAGTCTGTCCCATGCTGTTCCTAGGTCAAGTTGGTAAAATGGGGCCTCATCTTACAAGGCCAGAGAAGGTTAGCCGCTGAGTGGGGGCCTCATCTTGCAAGGCCAGAGAAGGTTAGCCGCTGAGTGGGGGCCTTGTTTGTGCTGGGGCAGGTTGCTAGAAGGAGCATCTAACACAGAGATGAGGCAGAAGTGGACAGGATCTTCTAGAACAGTGTTTCTCAACCTTTCTGATGCTGCAACCTGTTTAATGCAGTTCCTCATGTTGTGGTGACCACCTCCCCCCACCATAAAATTAATTCTTCCAACTTCATTACTGTAATTTTGCTACTGTTGTGAACTGCAATGTAAGATCTGATATGTGACTTCGGTGAAAAGGTTGTTTAACACCCCCAAGGGGTTATGGCCCACAGGTTGAGAACCACTGTTCAACAAGGAGTAGCTGAAGATCATACTTCTTAGAGTTCGGGGTCAGGAAAGCAACAGCAGAGAAGGAAGATCTGGGCCCAGAAGCTGAGGTGAACACTGGTCCACATTTTACTTACATGACTGAGCATCTCTTGGGTTCACAGGTATGGAGGCAAAGCCAGAGAAGGTAAGGATCCTCTCCGGGCTTACAGCCAGCAGCCAGAAGACCTCAGAATCTCAGCCTATACTATGCCCAGGCCACAGGTTAAAACTCCCTGGAGAAGACAAGGAGTGAAGGCTGGGTTTCGGGGGCAGCTGCTGAACTCAAATGAGACAGTTCTCATGGTGGTGTTGGCTAAATGCTCTCATTTCTCATGTGATAGGAACATTTTTCATGGAATGACTCTCCTGGGACCCTCCTTTTTGCTATGGGCTTTACTTCTGGAGGGCCTCAAGGAAACAGTTGAACATAATAGTCCCAGGGTTTCACTCTGGGCCCCAATGTGCCTTAGATCCTTAGTTTCCTCAACATTGTAAGATTATTCTTGCTGTTGTTTGAGACAAAGTCTTACTATGTCCTCAGGCCGACCTGGAAACTCTCAATCCTCCTGCCTCAGTTTTCTGGGCACTGGATTACAAGGATGCACCACTGCACCCCATTCACTGCAGGATGATCTAACAATATACTGCCAGCTGCTGCAAGGATTATCACTGCTATATGCAAGGGACTAGACATATGGATGTGCATAGAACAAGGAGCTATTAATACTATGACAGCTGGCAGCTGCAGCCACCTCCTCCTCTTCAGTGGTTTTGGCTTTACCTCTAAGAAGATTGTGCCCACCTTGGCATGGGCTGTTTGGAGGCAATCTCTCCAAGATTCAGGACATCCCGGGAGATACCCTGGACATTAGGAAATCACGTGGCTTCTCTAACCCTGCATCCTACACTTCTTACAAGGCCTCTGAAGGGAACTGCTGATACAGACAGCTGGTCCTGCCGCGTTGCCTCTCACAGGAGTGATTAGCTGTGTCATGCATCCATTTGTAATGAAATAGAAACGTTTTGATTTCTCTGGGAAGCCGGATTTTCTCCCAAATCCTTGCTGCTTTCATCCTTGGACATGAAACAGCCCATTCTAATCTCATACCAGGCAGCCATTATAGAGGGCCCATGAAATCTGATCACCTACTTGTCTCCCCCACCTCCCCCACCCCTCCGCAGCAGCAGCTTTGATGGCCGGGAGGGAGCCAGTTATCCTCTGCCTGCTGCTAATAGCTCTATGCATTATTGAAGAGCTGTGTTTGCAGGGGCAGACCCATCAGGCCGACATTCCTAGTGAAGGTTGAGATTCAGCTGCCTCTCCTGCTCCCCACTGTGGAGTTTTGGGATCTGGAAGAGCTAGAAAGAGGCACCTACAGTTAGGAGTGATGGCTGGGCAATTAAGAGCGCTGGCTGCTTTTCCAGGAGAACCAGGTTCTATCCCCGCACCAACTGGGGAACTCATGACCACATATAACTCCAGTTCCAGGGGGTCTGACACCAATGCCCTCCCTGGGCACCAGGTACAAACATCGTGCATAGATGTGCAGACAGAAATCCCATACACATACAAAGGAAATGAAAGTAAAAGATTTAAAAATCGCCAGGCACTCAGGAGGCAGAGGAGGCATATCTTTATGAGTTCAAGAGCAGCCTGATCCGCATGAGTTCCAGGTTAGTCAGAGCTACATAGCAAGACCTTGTCTCAACAAACAAACAAACAAACAAGGAAGGAAGGAAGGAAGGAAGCAAGAAAGAGGAACCTAACAATGGTATCTGCATAGCTTGCCATATTCTTGTTGGGTAGCAGCTGATAAGGAAAGAGAAAATAAGATAAGGGGCCTGAAGAGCCAGGCTCAGCATCAGCCTGGTGACTCCAACACTGTCTCCTGGTTTCTGTGGGCACCAGGCATACATGTGATGCACAGACATACATGTAGGCAAAACACATACATGTAAAATAAACTTTAAGAAGGAGAGGAAAAAGAAGATGAAAGATGGAATGATTGCTTGGCTGGTAAGGGTTCTTGTCACCAATCCTGACAACCTTAGCTCAATCTCCAGGACTCACATCATGAAGGAAAGAACCGACTTCCACAAATCATCCTCTGATCTCCACATGTGTGCTGTGAAGTATGCACACACACACACACACAAAATACAAAGCAAAGATAAAACACTTCTAAAAATAAAAGAGGTGATACCAGTTGTTACCATTTTGCTCAATTGTCCTAGACTCAAATGAGGAGCTGTCTAAAAGCCTCCTCAGGAGGGGATAGGGGATGTACTCTTGAAGACATGATGTTCACCCTCACCTGAGCAAGGCTGAGGCAGATAGTGATTGCATAACCTGCTGAGCAGAATTCTGGTACCATGCTTTGGGGGCAAGAAGAGGTCTGGGACTTAGTTATCCCTGAGAATTTTCTGGGAATGCCAAGGAATATGGACATTGCTTGCCCATCTAAAAACTCCTTTCATTTGTTTTAAAATAATATCACAACTGGAGAGACGGCTCAGAGGTTTTAAGCACTTCTTGTTTTTGAAGAGGGCCTGGGTTCAATTCCTAGCACCTACATGGTGACTCAACCATCTATAACTCCAGTTCCAGGGGACCCAATGCCCCCTTCTGGCCTCTATGGCACCAGGCATGTATGGGGTGCACATGCATACGATCAGGCAAAATACTGATACACACAATAAGATACAATAAATAAATCTTAAAAAAACAAAAATAAAAAGTTAGTTTTCAAAAATCTGCAATGTGCCACGTACTGAGACTGGAGATCTGATCATTAAAGAGGACAGAAGTCAAGATGACCCAGTGACCCTGCCCCCTTCTGGTCATGCACTTTACACAACTGTCTGTCACACCGAAGAGTAATGACCTGGGTGCTCAGTAGACTATTCCATGGGACTAAAGAGATGGCTTTGAGGTTAAGGACATGCGCTACTCTTCCAGAAGACCCAGGTTAGGTCCTCAGCACTCGTGTAGGATGGCTCATGACTTCTGTAATTCTAGTTCCAAGAGATCCAATGCCTTCTTTTGCCCGCCGTGGATACACACCACACACACACACACACACACACACACACACACACACACACACACTCTCACTCGGACCCAGGGTAGGGGTGGGAGTAGCAGGTGGGCTAATGCCCATGTCTTTCATGAATTTCTCAGTCTGGTAGAGAATTAGATATTGAACAGATATCACAACAATAGTTTAAAATTTTTATAAATGCCTCTATTAGGAGGAAAGGACTGAGACAGAGCAGTCAGGGAAGGTTCCAGGAGAGCCATACTCAATCCGACTCTACAGAGTGGCAATGATCAAAAAGGGTAAAATGGGCCGGGGGTGGTAGCACACACCTTTGATCACAGTACTCTGGAGGCAGAGACAGGTGGATCTCCAAAGCAAGTTCCAGAACAGCCAGGACCATACAGAAAAACCGAAACAAAGCAATGACAAAAACAAACAAACCCAAGAGGGCAAGAAGGTGACAAGAGAACTTAGGTCAAGGGACAGCTCAGAAAGGGAATAAGCCCGAGGCTCAGAAGACCAAGAGCTAGAGAACATGGAGTGGGAGGCCCCTGGGTAGATATGGAACTCACAGCCTTGCTATTTAGCCTAAGCACAGCGGGTGCCTCAGCATCCTAACTGAGCAAATGAGTCATGTGCTAACCTCTGTTTCCAAGGCTCCCTTTGGTTCCCACGGAGCGTGGTTTAAGAGAGGCCCAATGCAGGTCGTCACAGAAGCTCAAGAGAGGGGACAGACTGAGGTGTAGGAGGCTAGATTGATGACACATTAGTGGGTGTAGGGAAGGGGCGTGTCCCTAGGGCACAATACCAAGGTGGTTGGGGTCAAAACAGTTCAGACCCCAGGGAAAAAAATGCACCCAAAAGGTCATGGTGAACCTGCCATGTAGTCCAGGTAATGTTAACCCCTGGCTCTGAGCACGGTCTTGTCCCATCATAAATTATGGTCTGGTATGTAGCCTGTGTCCCTCCCCCAGTTTTATCCCCGCATGCTCTGTACTTGTAGGTGGGGTCTGGGAGAGATGAACAAGTTTAGAAGAAACCATGAAGCTAGGACACTCACCATGGGGAGCACGGTGCTACAAAAAGTCATGGAAGAAGCTTGCAGTTCAAGGTCTGACTTTCCGTCTTTGTACGTAGGGAACAGCGAAAAGGCAGCCAGGAAACATGCTCTCACCAAGAACTACACTGGGCAGCACTGACATGATGAGAGATGTTGTTGGGCCTAAGAAAGGCTCAGATGAGAGGCCCAGTGTAAGCTCCTGAGCCTGACTTGAGTTTAGGGATCCGATGGGAGGCCCAGTGTAACCTCCTGAGCCTGGCTAGAGTTTAGCGACCTGTCTCTAACCTGTAACCTCCACGCAGGGGTGACTCAGCCAGGCCTGATGCAAGATTGCCCCCTGCCTAGCTACCTGCCTGCGTGGTGGAATACTATTGGCCCTTAACTCCTCACGTCACCTTACCCTATCCTAAGATTCCCATCCCCTACCTCAGTCCTATATAAGTTCCTGTGTGTTGGAATAAATCGAGATCCTGCTTTGACAGACTCCCGACTCAGTGTGTGTTTTCTCCCTGGTAACTAATGGGGGGAGGGTCTGAGTCATCGACACTCACCATCCCGCTCAGCCCCCAGGAAGAGACCAGCTGGACAGGCCCTTCCCCCGCTCTACCTGCAGGGAGGACCCTGCAAGGTGTGGCTTCCAGACCATGTGAAATACATTTCTCTTGTCTAAACTGCCCTGTCTACAGCCATAAACAGACTTAGCAACGCACTAGGGAGACATCCAGAGAAGAACGGATGTGTTCATGTCCTCACAAGGGGCAGGTCCTTGAGTTCAAGATCTAGGTTAGAACAAGGGTCCCTAGGGAGCCATGAAAATGTCTTCGGAAGTCCTGAGGTTAAAAACTATTTATATAAGAATACTAAGACAAAACAAACAAACAAAAAAACAGATGTGGTGGCACACATCTGTCATCCCAGCAGTTCACTGTCGTACTTGGCTACATAACGAATCTAAGGCCAGCCTAGGTTACCAAACAAACACAACAAAACACAAAGACTAAGATAGTCTCTGCCTATTTTTCACTGCCATTCATCCAGATAATAAAATGGAAAGTTCTAGGATCCAAGTGGCCTGAGGTATTGCAGTGAGCTGAAGGGGTGACAGATATCAGAACCCATCACGAAGGCTTTTCTTCATACTGTCTGCTTTTATTTGAGTAAATACATTGTCTTAAACATGTTTTACCCATATTCACATATAATGGGTATATCATTACCATTTTAAGTAAGTTATTGAGTAAATTGAAATATGCCCAGCTTCAACTGCCAACATGGTAAATATTGAGAAATATAATCTATTAAAAGAAGAGATCTTAGGAAAATTCCTTATAGTGGCACACACCTGTAATTCCCAACCATGGGAAGCGGAGGCAGGAGGATCAGGAATTCCAGGTCATTTTGCTACATAGCTTGAGGTAAGCCTGAGCTACAAGAGCTCTTGTCTCTCTCTTCTCCCCAATAGCTCAGACTGGCATAGAACCCACTCTGTAGCCCAGGATATCCCCAATCTTACTGCCATCATCCTGCCTCGCCCTCCCAGGTACTAAGATGACAGGAACGAGGCACCATGTCTGCCTTGGGTCTTCATTTTTAAGAGTATAAAACAAGGGTCCAGTGATCAAAGAACTTGAGAACTGTTGATCAAGGGCAGGAATGGCCTCCATTTCGCTACTCTCTTTAGTCCCTCCATCATTACCAAAGTGCCATAGTAGGCCAGCAACAGAGACTGAAGAATCGCAGCCTCTGGAGATGGACTGCTATATATATATATCAGTCCTGCACAGCAGGCCAGCAACAGAGACAATTATCATAGCCTCTGGAAACGGACTGCTATACTCGCTGCTATACTCATTAGTCCTGGGGTAAATGCTGGCTTCTCTTCTGTCCCTTAAGGAATTTTGGCCACTCTGAGCTTTCATACTCCCCTGTTGGTTAGAATATAAACAATGATCTTTCCGAAGGAATACTGACTCCATCTCTCCCTGATTTGAAATCTTTCCATGTCTCCCATTCAATTGGAAATATTAAGGCCCCAATAAACACTCAGCCATGCCAGGTCCTCCATGGTTTCCTAACTACTCCTGACCAGTCTCGCCCAGCTACTAGAAGCCCCCTGGAGTCTAAGGGCTCTCCTGCTGCGGGACTTTGTGTATGTGTCATCCAGACAGCACCCCAGCAAGCACCTTTCCCCGCCCACAGCCATCTCTTGTGAAGCTGCTGACAACCCTCTCCAAGGCCACCAGCATGTGGCAGACTCCTTCGTTCCAAGGCAGCACCTTCACCTCTCTGAGGTCACACCTCCACACATAGGATGTTTGGCCTCTGATTGGTTAGCTTCTCATTCCAACTGCTCGTTGCCCTGGTTGTTAAAATATTTTCAGATTCTCCCCTTCTGAAGTCCTTAAGAGAAAGCATTCAAATATTTGCCAAATGACTCAATAAACAAAGTGCTCTGGGCTCCAAGTGACACAGGGGAAATTGCTCTCAGAGCCCAGAGGTCTTGGCTTGTGATTAGGAAGTCCTCTCTAGAGTTGGGGGTTGAACCTCACACATCCTGAAGCTGTGCTCCACGACTGAGCGTCCCTACCTCCTGCATTCCCAGGCCCTTGTCCACCACAGGTCTTGCGTGGGAGGCAGTTCTGAATACTTCGGCTTTCTCTGAACCACAACACAGCAAAGTGGCAGGGCTTGAAATCTCAACAATCTCTTTCCAGTTCCCTGGCTGATCACCCACCTGCAACCAAAGAAGATGTAACCTACAGACTTGGGTCTGTCCAACATCCTTGATCCAGAGGCATCCCTGTTGAGGCCTCAGTCTGTACGATCCTGATTTACCAACTCCCATTGCAAGTTAAGTTCCCAAGGAGTAAGGGACCAAGTATTTCAACTACTTGAAACAATTATGCATTTGAGTCAATATCCATTTATTGCTGGGAAGAATTATATTCTAAATCAAATCCAATCATTCCCTCCATGGGTGGGATACTCAATACAGGCTGCGGTCAAGGCTATCTAACATGGTACCAAGTGTTGTTTGCGCCATCAGTAATGGCTGGAAGATAGTAAGTGCATTTCAATACTATGTACTTCATTCCAAATGTCGAT